CATATGAAATGATTCGATGGAATTTAGTCAGAGAGTATTAAAATGATCAGAAGGAAATATGGACAGCGAAGAAGAAGGATAATTGCTGAGATTGACTGTAAATGGGAAGAGATTGTGGAATGTGTTCAGTTTAGGAAATGATTGTAAAATAGTGCAGAACGAGATTATTTTGTATTCAAAGATATAATCCCAAATCTGACACCAAACTCAGGTATTTTAGCTAAAAAGTGTCAAGATGTCTGAGCTTAGTTTTTGGCAAAACATTTTCTTGACGATTTCCCGACTGTTCCTGTCGTTTTTTGCTTTTTCTGATCAAATTTCAGCAAGAAAACAGAAAGTTTATCTTACATTAACTTCACTATTTATAAAATTCTCTTGAGTGTTGTTATCACGAAGTATATTATTAAAATGACATGATTTTGCATGAAGCGACATCTATGTATTAGTGCTTCAACTAATTGACGCTGCAATCGCTAGTTCTCCCACTAAACAGCTAAGATCTTAGCGAAGAAAAGCGAAAAAATCAGCTTTTTTTACAATCAATCTTGATATTACGTCAAATTCAAATTCATGTCAAATCAAAACGCAAAAGCTCCACAAAACCGTAACGGTTGGTTTTACTTTCATGAAAGTAAAAAAAGGGGACTGTTTTTTCCATATCTCATCATACAATGTTGAAAAAGCACACATAAAATTACGCTGTTGGCTTGGATTGTTGAGTGGTATTTGCCCATGAGCAATCCAGTGAAACGAGATTGAGCCGTAATGTTGTGTGGTGTGGAGGGGGGGGGGAAGGAAAAATGACAACAATATCAATCTTGTCGTTTTAAAATAGTTCTTGATTGGCTATCAATTAATGTATAAAGAGCCGTATTTCGTTGCTTGTGACGTGAAACACTATATATGTACAATGGGGGGATGTTTATATGTATCTCAATTCCCATTTCTGGACTATGATGAGAGACAGTATGTATTCTGCAGTGATTATGTGGATCAAGGTCTTTTGTGAGGTATATTTTTGGCGATGAGCTCCTTCCGGGAAAAAGTTCCTTCGGAGAGAGCGTTTTCAATTGATTTTTCCTTTCACGTAAACTCTGTTTGGATGACGATGATGAGGATGTTGGTGAGAGAGAGAGTGAGTGAGGAAAAAGCTCATTCTTTGTAGCGATAAATTTGATTATTCTCATATAATCAAATTGATGATGATGGTGGTTTAGCTACAGTTTCCTCCTGAAGATTAATTCTGACTTTCTTTGGTCGTGTATCTTGTTTTTTTTTCGCCTTGCTTTTGCACGCTCCTGAAGCTTTGGTGAGGAAGAGAAGGAGAAGAAAAAATTCTAAGCTATGGTTTTGAGAATTGAATTTCTTCTGGTGAACGTGCCGATAATGTGTTATTCTTTTCTCTTGTGGCCAGCGTTCATTGTACTCTAGAATGTCATCATCATAATCTACTTGGCGTCCAGGTTGAAATCAACGCGCTCGCGGTTGTGTCTTTTTAAAAAGAGAAGAAGAGGTTGAATGTCTTTTTGTGTGTGATTTTCAAGGTGAGAGATTTTGCAAAAGACTGTGTGAGACGCGAAACTCTTTTCTCTCTGTCTTTTCTTGTGTGTCTCTCTCTTCTCCTCCAATATTCACACAAGAAGAAGTTGTGTGACTTTGTGCATAAATAAGCCATATAGAAATTTATAGACTCTGGCCATCGACTGGTATCTTCTCAACCTACGTCTTCATCGTGGAAATTTGCCTTCATCGGGATAATATCAATAGATTACCAAATAATTGCACAGGTTGTTAGATTATTACTTTGTTGTGTATGTGGAAATTCTCAAGGCATGAGTCAGAAATTTATTGAAGAATTTTTACACGAGAAATCCATCAGAGAATAAAGTCAATCTTTCGCTGTGCTGAATTTCAATCAATTTCAGGAGGTTTTTCTGTTATATTAAAACTCTTAATTTATCCCATAATTGCATTGTGGTGAATTTAGGTTTGAACGGTAGTTGTAAAAGTTTCACTTTAGAGTTCATTTGAAGTACAATCGTCTGAAGAGGGAACAACAAAGGCTGGGATGTTGGCATTTGTTCTATATTAATATTCACTCTCGGACGTTGTTTCCCTCCTCACGTGGAGTGTCCGTGTGTGGGTGGATGAAGGGAAGTGTGCTTGAAAAGGTGGGCAGGAGCTGAGGAAACAAGTGTAATTTATTCACGAAAAAGAACAGAGAGCGAGAGAGAGAGAGGTTGAGCCCAGAAGAAGAAGTGTGTAATAAGTTGAATGGGAAACAAAGTACGGTGAATATTTAAAGTATGGATGTGAAACCATCGAGGCAAAAAATCTCAAAAGATGATTCTTTTAGCAAATTGTCGAGAAAGCCCAGGAGAAGAAGAAAGAAGAAGAAGAGGAGTGAGAAAGTAGGACAAGAGATGTTAAAGGTACACCAATATCTTTACCCATTTCACTCTCTTCATGGTCTATTATAGAGTGAAAGAGAGACAGATTTTGCAAATAGAAAAGTCTCACGTTTTCTTCAATTTGGCATCTTGTGGCGTCTGTGAATCAATAAAACCTGGGATGATGTTTGCCGGATGAGTGAATGCAAAATTCGCAAGAGTGGCGCGCGATGTGTGTTATTGAATATTCACGATGAGGAGGAAGAGCGTGAGTTGAAGTGAAGCGCGATGTTAGATTTGATTTAATATGCAAAATCACCCATTATCTTATCTTTCTCCTCTTTCTCTCTCTCGCTCTTGATGCTTGCTTGGGGTGAAAATTTTCACTCTGTTTGATATGCTGACGCAAAAATATGTCTGCGATGGAATTCACAACGTAATATTTGTTTACTTTATAATGCGTTGTGATTCGCCCATAAGAAGCTTAAGTGCTCTCCACCTTTGGATGATATTTGTTGAATGAGGTTTCTGGGCATTCCAAACCACAGTTCAGCACACAGTTAATTACTGACGGTGGAATGAATTGGAATTAGTGGTTTAATTAGATTTCATTCCGGGTTATTTTCACCTCAAACCCCAAATCTCTAATGTTTTGCTGACATGAATTTCTCTGACGTTGAGTAGCAAAAGATGGTATCATCTTGGAAGATATTAACTGAAACATTAGAATTAGCTGTGAGCAACAGTTTAATATTCTGTCTTTTGGTGAGAGAGAGAGAGTTCGTAAAAGTAATTTCTTCCTCAATTGTGCGACTCACTGATTAACTGATATTTCCCATCTCGAGTGTTAATATTGCGACAAGCGTAAAATACACACATTTTCTCGCCCTGGAATCAAGTTCAATATGGGATGAAATGGTGCTGTTGGAAGTCATCGGGTTTCATGAAATAACATGCAATCTATGGCAGAGAATGCGAGAGTCAAAGTGCCTGTTAAATTTTATTATAATATATTATATTAAAACACATGGGATCGATTTTTTTTCTCTCTCTCTTATGCAATATGCTCTGAATTGTGGAGGAAAACAAGGAGGATGAAAGAGAGAAAGATGCTGGAGAAATCTTCAATGCTTTCCCATAAATCCTATTTGATTTCACGCCTTGAAGGTAATTACAGCAAAGTTCTCTCGTGGCTATTAAACTTTTAGAGAGCAAAGTGAGTGGTGAGAGAGAAGGAAGAGGATTTGAGTGTAAATTGACCACAAGAATTGGGGATGAGAAGAAGAAGTCAGTGCGCGCGGTTTTCTTGGCAACTTTTTCCTTCTCTCCTTCTCGTCGTCACTCGATAGATTTGCCAATTGCACGACATGTTCCCGTTCTAGTTGGTCAAGTAACGATTTCGGAATGAGATTGTTGCGCGGTGCTGCGATGAGTGTTGAGAAATCCCCGCAACTTTCATTGTGCGCCGCCAAACATTGAAGAGTGTGAGTTGTTCGCGCTCTTTTTTTCTCTCTTTCTCTTTTTCCTCGTGTGGCACAAAAAGTTCCGTTTTATATGTTCAACACGACTTTGGAATCTAATGGCTAAATAGAAGTGTTTAAAGGGGGATTTTGCGCATGGTGCTTGTCGATTGAGGTGACTTTTATGCTTCTCACATTGCCGTGTATATACATAAAGCACAGGTGGATGTGCGAAATTCGATGAGGCTGATCCGGGTGAGGGGGCGCGCGATTGTGGGAGGTGAAATGCGCGCGGGGATCTATTGAGAATGTACAGGGAATTTTTTTTTTCCTCTTCTTCTTTACTTCGTGGAAAGCACAGCGAAATAAGCGGATAAAGTGTGGAGCAATCGTGATGTTTGCAGACGAATGCAAAATTATTGCTCAGACTTTCAAGCCATCGAAGTTAACATCTGGAACTTTTCACTGTGTGTGCGAAAGAAGGGGAAAGTCACTAGGCGAATTTTGTGAGGAATCTTGATTTTTGAGAAAGGCCAAGATTTCAAGATAAAAAATGACATTTTCTCGAAATTTGTCTTTGGGAAATACAATTGGAAGTTCTACATGCTTTTAGAGTTAAATGCCTTTGAAACTGCTGCCATCTGGTGTCAATTATGTTGAATATATTTCAATTTTGATTGAATATTTAGGAAATTTAACAAAAAAATCCATACAATATTCAAATATTGAGATAAAAATGCTGTTAATGGTCTGATTTTACTAGTGACTTTCCCCTTTGGTGTGAAACTTTATGATGAAAACTACACGAAAAATAAATTGATGGCATTTTCTGCCAACGTGAATAAAAATTGTTGTCATGGTGACAGTCTTTTGTGTGTTGTAAATGTTTGGAACTGGGGAGAAGAGAAGAGAAGAGAGTATTCATCGATGGTGAAAAGAGTATCGTTGCTATTTAGATACTTTAAACGATGTGGACAAATATAGTGTGTCTATTTTGTCTATACAGATAGATAGATTTTGATGGAGAGAAAGGGAGATTGTGTGGCCTTTAAAGGTCTCCTCATTCTTGCATTATTTTCTCACATGATGCTGAATATTTTGCATGTTGAGAGAGTGAATTGCATATTAATAGTTCTCTTTTTCCTTCCAGATATACCGGACATTCCTGATGATATCAAACACCTTCGCAGTTTACAGGTAGCTGACTTCAGTTCGAATCCAATTCCACGATTGCCCGCCGGCTTTTCTCAACTGAGGAGCTTAACAGTATTAGGGCTCAATGATATGTCGTTGACATCATTGCCAGCCGATTTTGGAAGGTGAGATCCATCACGTTTTCCGTTTATCTTCGCACACTCTTATAAACCGTCTTGTTTACATTTTCACGTCCCTCTCTTTGTCTCTCTCTCTCGCTCTTGCTCTGTTCGGAGGAGAGCTTGAGGCTTTTTTTTGTATTCTGCCATTTGGGCACCGCAAAGTAGGGCATTTCAGAGAGCTAGACGAAGGTGAAGAGGTGCCGTAGAAAAAGCCCCACGTACATATAAGAAGGTGGAACAAGATATACAGAGAAAAAAAAAGAAGTAAGGCATTGTTGAAGAGTCATGTTTCTTATAACTCTCCATCGGTCGATTCAGAGAGTGAACTGATTGAAGATTATAAATACCCCGGTTATGGACTTTGAAAGTAATTTAACCTTTAACTTGAAACAATTGCCTAACGGCGTATGGAAAGAGACTCTAATTTGATGGGGAGCAAAGAGAGAGAGAGAAATTGTGTGTGTGTATGCATGGAGACTTTAAGGTGTTTCCCTCTGGGCGTTTTTTTTCACTTCATTTGAAATTGGTAGCTATATAGTGGTTGAGCGAGTGTTGGTGAGATGTTAACCCAGAGAGGTAAAAATCGGAAGGTGATTGTGGGTGGTGGGAAATGAGAAACATTTTTAATCAAGTGAGCGCGCGCGAGAGGGAAGACACAAGAGGTGGGAAACCTCATTTAAAGTAAAGCACAAACTGTGTATATGTTGAAAAGCAATTTTTATATAGCAAAGCTATGACATCACATGACCACACATATATAAATGTGGGCAGGAGAGATAGACAGTGAGTGGTTGGGATTTTATTAGCAATGTCATCAATTTTATTATTTGATTTGGCAGATTCATTGTTGGATAAATTTAATGTTGTGTATAAAATCTCTCTCTCTGGCTTTGCTGCCAACTTCCGGAAAATCTCGACAGGAAAGAGTGGAGAAAAATTGAATTTAGCACTGGATGTAGCATCTGAGGTTTTAGCTATATAGAGCAAGAGACTGAGAGAGAAAAAGAGAGAGATTAAAGTGTATAACAAGTTAGCGACTTATCATGAATATTTCAAGAGTTCTTAATGACAATGGCAGAGACTGTAAAGTGTACACTTGTTCAACGTAACTCCACCGCAACAAATCCAATTACCAAGTCACTTTCAGTGTATTTTCTATACATTATTCCAATGATGGCAACAAGCGCGGCCGGATGATGAGACCCTTTTTCATACCCTGCGAGAAGAGAGTTCTGATATGTTGGGCAAATGTTGCAGAAAAAAAGGCGAAAGAGCGACAGAGAGAGAGAGAGAGACTCTTTAGTAAACAGGAGGTCGACCTTTTAGAAAGTCGCACATCTATTGGAAAGGAAAAATTAAATATAGCTATAATCAAAAGGGGATGCGAAAGAAGGGATGGTGCTTTTTCATGGGTGAATGAAATGTTATACGTGGAAGAGACAAAGGATAAACTGCACAGGACATGTTTTCTCTCTGTAGAGTGGCGATAAAAAATATTGTGAAGTAGTGATCAGGTTTTATTTTTAATGACATCGTCCTGAAAAGTGCCTTCCGGACTGTTCCATCTCTCTCTCTTGGGCGGGACAATTCGAAGGGTGCTTCGAAGACTATCAAGACTTGAGTTTGCATTGTTGGCATCTTATATGGTTCTTGAATAGATCTCGATATCTTGACATGAAAGAAATCGAACTTATAATAGGTCAACTTTTGATAATCTAAGATTTGGACGGTATTCAAAGTCGATATTTGATAGAATTATAAGATAAAGATTAGATCGACTGTATAAATTTCCTGTATTTTATAAGTTGTTTTTCACCCTTAAATTTATTATTATAAATTTTGTATGAAATCCTATTCTGAATAGGATTATTGAGATATAAGAAAGCTATTAAGAATCGACCGTTTCTACTTGATATCTTCAGTTCGTCTATCAAATCTACCAATTTTAATTAATATTTCTATAACTAACCAAGGAAAGCAACAGAAAATAATTAGAATTAATTAATATTTTCAATTTAATGGATGATAAAAGGGAGTTAAGGCAAGAAATCTTGCAAATTAATGAAGCTTTTTCATATCTCAAACTTCAACTCAATTGAATATAAACAAATCTTGCAGAAAGCTTTGAATTCTGGAATAGCAATTTTGCCTTTTGCTGGTTTTTGAGGCAACCGTCGTTATATTTCTCTCACTGTCTGCAAACTCCCACACTCCACAGATCCACAAGATGTGGATGGAGAAAGAGCCGCAACAGGGAAATAATAATAATAAGTGCAACGAAGAGGAATGAGAAGAAGTTGTGGAGTTTCTCTCGAGGGAGAGAGAGTAAAAAGGGAATATTATTATGTGCCGTGTTGTGTATATGGTTTCTTCTTTTCTTCTTGCCTGATGGTGAAGAGAGTGAGTGCGCAATTGAAGCTCATTACTTGAGACTTCACCATTTTGCTCCCAATGTCAATCAATTAAAATTCCACGAGTTGTGAACATTTTTCCTCTGTGGATTATTTGGTCGGCAAATGAGGAACTGAACAAGTGTAGACAAAAGACAGGAATTTTCAATTTCATCTTAATTCACGTGTATCACGCACATGAAAGATATGGTGGTGGTATGAAAATCACACAATGGGTGTATAAAGAGAGTGAATAACTTGGGTATATCACTCATTATTGCATAATAGGGTAATTTATACAAGATTCCCATTTCTCATGCACATGAAATACCCGTAATATCCTTGGAAAGTATAGAGAGAAGATTATGGGTGGACTTTTTACCTCTCTGTCTTTGAATCTCTTTGTTTTTGCATGACATTAAAATGTTGTTGGAAAAAGAATGTTTATAATCAAATCATGTCTTCACAATGCAAAGTTAAGTTCAATTAGTATTCTATGATAGGGTGTGATTGAGAGAAGGTTTCTTCGGCTAACTAATTAAGCAAGTCGACAGGAGTGCTAATCATTTGCACACGTGGCTTTCACGAAGGAAATTTCTATGTTCTACGACATTGTGGCGTGGTTCTCGAATTTCTCTCTCTCATTCTCTCTCTCTCAATTGCCAGACATTCGCATACAAAATTGATTTATCTCAATGAATTATTCTCGTGAGGAGGCACAGAGGAAAATTCATCATGAAATTGCTCTGTATTTTGATCATGCTCTTCCTCACTGGAGCAATTAAGGTGAAATGTTGGCGAAGAGATGAATTAAATTTCTGAGAATAGCTCATATTCACTTTGATAGGTAACTTCTTGGCTGTCTTTTGTTACACTTGATGATGAATTTGACTCTTTCTGACCTACATTTTGTCTTCTTCTTTGATTTTGATTGTTGGAGGATTTTTATTTTGTTGTTGCTAGAGGCAAAAGTATACTTTTGTGTGTGGTCAGAATCATCATTGATTCTCTCTCTCTCTGTTAATTTTGGGAGGAGCGAATTTTTGTTTACGTGCCGATAGCAGTAATAATCGCGCTTCTGTTCAATGTTTCTCTGTACGCTAATTCAATTAAGTGGAACAAATTTAACATTCTGATGCTGAAAATTGGCGAAGAAACTTTGAGTGTTGACGGCATTAAAACATTAAGGAAGTTGAATTGAGTGGCAATTTATTTACAATTATATTGTTTCAATTCAGTCACACACAGATGGAATTATCTATCGATGAATTTTGATATTATGAGTGGTTTTTCCTGATGGGGTGCGTATTGATGCATTAATATTATTATTTCAGGAAAATGAGCCATCATCTATTTTGGTGATTAGTGGTTTTCGGGGCAAAATGTAACGAGCTCTCGATGTGCTCCATGAGAAATTGGAAAGAGAGTTGAAGAGATGATGATGAGAGAATTTATAAATTAAAGATGCTAATTTTAGCTCAAGTCGAACTAAATTTACGATCCACAAACGGTGTAACCTACTTGGCAGAAATGCTCTTTCTCTCTCTCTCTGTCTGTATTCCTTCAATTTCACCACCAATTTTTCACCGATAAGTGAAAAAGAGAAAAAGAGAGAGAAAGAGGTTTTGTTTTGTTTACACACAGTACTCAAAAATCCACATATACACTGAGGGGTTTATAATGTTTGGTGGTGATGCACGGAAAATTATTTTCAGCACTGTAATGATGCCAAATATAGCGTGTGAATATTATTTTTAAATCCCTTCTTACACCATCAATAAATATATTGCCACGGTAGACACACAAAATCACTTCTGACCAATTTTTCACATCATCATTTTCACACGCAATAAATTTTTGATGATTTTCCCTTTCTTCACTCGTGGTGAATATCTCACGAGAGGTTGTTTTGTATTATTTGGGGTTTTTTTCTGTCTTGAATGTGTGCGTATTAAATGCGTATTTAAACACAATTAAATGCAACCGCGTGTTGCAACTTTACGTTCATATCATTTTTAATAAGCTGTCAAAAATGAATGGCAAGAAAAGCCGGAGAATTCACGTGAAAACCAAAGAATTAGACAATAATGATGTATTTATGTAAATAATAAACATATTTATTGGATTTTCCTCAACATTTGTGCACATTTCAATGCACCAGATTGAGGTTATGTGTTTCCGGATATCCTTCGACTCTGTTAAGTACATTGAGAGTAAAGAGCAAATCTTGCACTTTACGGCTAGTCAAAAGAAGTCGCAATAATATGATTGTTTGACAGCTGAAATTCATATTAAATAAACTCCCAAACGTAAAGTTGCAACGACCGGCAATTTTAACAATCTTTATAAATCTGTGTGGAGATTGAGAGATAATGCTTTTTAATGAATTCATAGCGATTCAGAGAGGAAAACGTGCATTTTTGCAATGTGTTTGTTTGTATTTATTGACAAAATGTATGCACATATGATATATAGTAAAGTAATATTTATTTACTGTCTGTTTGTGCATGAGAGCAAACAAACAGTGGACAGAGCGAGTGTGATTGGAATGCCAAGTGAGATATTTGCGGGTGTAATTTACAATTGAAATTAAATGGATGGTATTTAAATTTTGCTTCGTGGTGGAAAGTGTGGTAAACAGAATGACTGGATTGTACTATAGAGTAAACTTGTTAAATATTGGTCAAGTTGGGTGGGAAAATTATCCTGTTCACACCTCTGTGACGCACTAAAGAGAGAGAGAGGAGAAAATTCATGCGGAAAATTACACTTCTCTTTTGCAGTTTGTCACAACTGGAGTCGCTGGAGTTGCGGGAGAATCTACTCAAGAGTCTACCAGAGTCGATAAGTCAATTAACAAAATTGGAGCGACTGGATTTGGGTGATAATGAAATTGAACATTTACCCCCGCACTTGGGTCACTTGCCAGCTCTCCAGGAACTTTGGCTGGATCACAATCAATTACAGAAACTTCCGCCTGATATTGGGTTCCTTAAGAATTTGGTGTGCCTTGATGTTTCTGAGAATAGGTGAGTTTTTTCTATACGTAAAAATTTATATTACGCCATTAAATTGACTTTGTTGGGGGGAATTTTGTCAGTGTGACGGATGTGCTTTAGCCGCCGTACAATCCACTCATCCATGTGATAGAGGTTTTCCTTTAATTTCCTCCTCTTTTGCCATTTATTCAAATTAAAGGTGGTCACTTTAAATATAATTTTACACATCACATGTATGGGTTTTAAAGTGAATTCACACCATCAACATGATCAGCATGATGATGATGATGATGAAAGGGTGGGATTTTGTGCTGACATTTTAGCAAGAGCAAAGTGAAGCTTCTAACCTTTTTTTTGTGATGTGTGTTAACCCAATTTTCTCTCTCTTTCCACCAGATTGGAGGAGCTGCCAGAGGAAATTGGTGGTTTGGAAAATCTGACAGACTTGCACTTGTCGCAGAATCTGCTGGAGACCATCCCCGATGGGGTTTCACACTTGACCAAATTGACAATATTGAAACTAGACCAGAATCGATTACACACGCTGAATGAATCCATTGGAACGTGAGTGTCACTCTTTTGGCCCTTTCTAGCAGCAGCAGAAACAGCAAAAGGCCCATGAATAATTGAAAGGGCAGCTGTTTGAGAAATTATCAGCCATTTAACTCATGTGTTGCTTTCCTTTCTCTCCCACACACGCTTATTGCAGATGTGTTAGCATGCAGGAGTTGATATTGACGGAGAACTTTCTCATGGAGATGCCCAAGTCCATTGGTAATATGGGCAAGCTGAATAATTTGAATGTGGATCGCAATGCACTCACGGAATTGCCAATTGAGATTGGCAATTGTGTTAATATGGGTGTACTCAGCTTGAGGGATAACAAATTGACCAAGTTGCCATCGGAGTTGGGCAATTGCCAGCAACTCCATGTGCTGGATGTGTCCGGGAATCGTCTGAATTATTTGCCGTACTCACTGGTCAATCTCCAGTTGAAAGCTGTGTGGCTGTCGGAGAATCAGGCTCAATCCCTGCTTACATTTCAGCCTGATACAGACGAGGCGACTGGCGAACAGGTGATTGTCAAATATTGTCTCTCTCGTTCTCCATAATCCCATGACTTATTCACATGCAGATCACTTTGGGCTGCGCATAGAAGAGGGTGTTTAGTTAGAAATTCAGAGAGGAACATTCCAGGGCAATATTTCACCCAAGGGGGAGATAGTATGGTCAGAGGTTGTTAGGAATTGGAAAATTTGGTCAGAAACTTACAACATTCCTTTCCTGTGAGCTTATTTTACTGACAAATTATCAGAATTCTTTGAATTGGAATGGAATCATTGCTATTTTGAACCTTTGACGCAAAGAAACTCTAAAAAAATGTGTTTAAATCAAACATAACCTCAAAAAGAATATTTTGAATTTAAAAAAGGTTTGTTTAACAAGCTTTCTGGAGGATTTTGACTCTGAATCGACAATTTTGAATTCATTAAGAAATCAAAAGAGATGATTTTGTGATCTAAAAAGCTTTTAAACGAAGTTTTTAAAGATCTTTTAGTGATATTTTGAGGTTATGGTCGGAAAAGACACCAAAGAAAGCGGTTTTTGTGGACTTTTGCCAAAGTATTGATTAGAAACATTAAGAAATTCAATATAATTTGAGAATTATTGTGCAAACAGTCCAAAAAATTTCAAGTGCTGCAAGTTATTTCCCCCTTTAGCCAGTTTTCAGTTAGATTTCAGTTATTTGATAGGAAATTAATCAATATAACCAGCATATTTTACAGAATATCGTTTATTTTGGCCTTTTCAAATTATTCTGCTATCTCCCCCTTGATTTCTCTCCCTCTTGAATTGCTTCGGCTCCTTCTGTGTGGATGCCAAAAGTCTAAACTATCCTCACATATCTCCATGTGTGCATACTTAATACGAGGTATTCGTGGAAAGTGGAATAGTTCATGAATGGAAAGAGAGACGATCGTAAAATACTTCTTCTCTGATGCATTTTCCCGCAAATGCTCTCGGTTGGCTTTCTGATGATTGCTCTATATTTACGGTGTGAGCTCTATAAAATTACCGTTTATATAGTTTACAAATATTTCTTCGACAGTATAATGTTGGATTTTATGGTCGTAATTTTAGCTCTTCATGTGAATTGCATGGGGTTCCTTTTTTATTGATGAGAGTATATGATTGATAACTGAATTGTGGGTGATAAAATGTTGTAATATTTTACAGGTCCTCACGTGTTTCCTGCTGCCGCAGCAAGAGTACCAACCCCTCAGTCCTGGTGAGTCCTTTTATATTGCCAATGCGTCAAATATCGTCTCCCTTATGCCCAATTAACCATTTTATTTGCCGGCCACGTGAATTTTTGAATGGCGCAGAAGAGACAGAAATCTGTTTGCCAAGACCAGAGTTCATAATAAAATTTGCACTTTGCTCCTATTTTATCGTCGCCACGCTTTTGAACTTTTTCGGGTGGCAGAAAAGGAGGAGGAGGAGAAGAGGATGAAGCATTTGTCTCTGTGCGTCCACGCTGAGAGCATCCTTAAATGCTTTTAAGAATGATCGTAAAAGAGAAGCTTTGTTTTTTACTGTCATAACCTTAGCTCGCCGCTGTGTGTATTGAAATGAAGAAGAAGGAGAAAAAATTCCTCAGTTTTCGTGGGTGTTTTTGAGAGCGCTCAAAAGAGAGAAGAGCGAAGACAGTTGGTTTTGGTGGGAAATTTTTGAATTCAGTGAATTTTTATGTGCAAAATACTATCCAATGCGAACGTGGTTTTTATGTCAGTGGCAAATGGCGCAAGGTTAGAGGAAATTGCGATGAAAAGGGGGTAAAAAATAGAGTGCTTGAGAGAACTTAATGACACTCATAATGCAATATGACTTAAAAGAAACTGCTTTAAGGACTCTGTGTGTGTCCGTCTGGTGGTTTTCCCGCGGTGCAAAAGAGAGAAAAAGAAAAAGAGAGTTACATTTCCGCTGTGTCGCTTTACTAACACCTCAATTCTGTTTTTTTTTAATTTAATTGATGTCTTATTTCTCATTAATTTTATTTTACTGCTAAAAATGATTTGTGTTGGTTTTGTATTCTTGAAGAAATGATCAGTGGCAGACTATACAGATCGAACCAAAGATTCAGTTCCATGGACTTATCAATGATTCAAGGTTTGATTTATTGAAAAAGCAAATATAATTTTCAAATTTTATTATTAATTTGGAATATTATTATTATTATTATTATTTTTTCTTCTTTATCTTCCCTATTGTCTGAAGTTTCTCTTCTCCTTATGAATTTAAACCCTTTTTTAAAATAAAAACTCCACACGTGATGAAATATTGGATGTTTTGCACACATTCAGAATGAAAGAAATAATGGAAATGTTTTAAAAATCACTTGTATAATTCAATCCCTCGACAGAATTTGTCTGAATGCAAAAGGGAAAAGCAAGAAATGTTAACACATTTACTGTGCATTTTGCCTGGAAAAAAGTTTAACTCTCTCTCTGACACAAGCTTGGCTAAAACTCTAACTAACTCAGTGATAACAGACTTTTCTGCGCTTGTTTCTCTTTCGAAATAATTCTACCCCAGAGAACTAAACAGAAAAAAGTGTATATAAATCAGCGTGGAGTTTCTCATTTTCATTCACCTCTTTTTCCAACCATTTTTCCAATTGTATAACAAATACATAACGAAATACTGTTTTTTTCCGTGCTTTTGGAATGGGGAGATAGAGAGCTTTTGCCATGCTAAAATGCATGAATGGAAACTTTCATGGCGACTCGATGAAATTACTTTGACGTGCGTTTTTTATTTATTCCTATCTACATATATTTTTTCTCATTTTGTGAGCAAACACACAACAAATATTCTCTTTCATAAGATTTACTTTTCATTAAAAAGATCTCATTTGCCATTGGATAAATTGAAAGTGCTGGAGAAGAGAGAAAAAAGTGTGTTTGTTTCTGTCTCTGTGTGTTGAAAAAAAAGCTCCAAAGTGAATCATTGAGTCAAGCTGGGAAGAAGTTAGCAAATTAGAAATATAATCACAAATCGCATGAGTTGAGATTTTTTCTCTCTGTGTTCTTTTTTTTTTTGGTAGAGAATAATCTCTTGTGAATTCTTCTGTGTAGAGAAGAGATAATAATTAATAATTAGGAATGCGAGAATATGTTTTGAATACGAAAATGTGGGTCGAACAAACACGAGAGAGATGAGCGAAAATTGATAGATTACATGCCAGTTGTGGACGAAAGGATAGAGACACACACGATGCTCAAATTGGTGATTTAGCATGAATATTATGCGGATTGATTTATTAAAATATCTTTTAGAATTCTAACAACATTATTTTGTTGTTATAATCTAATACAATTTTGCATTTGGAAATGTGATATGAAATTTTACAGCGTGTCCGATACAATTACAACAGCAGAGTTAATCCAATTATTCTGCATTGCGTTGTCACTGTTGTGTGAACGCAAGAGATAAAGAGAGAGAGAGAGAGAGAGAGGGAGTGAGAGAGTGTCTCTAAACTTTTGCCAATGTACTGTGATAATATATTAAAAAAGAAAAACAGAGAGAGAGATGAGAAACAATGTCATGATTAATTAATTGATGTATTCTTTTTTCCCTCCACCGTCGCCGCCGCCGCTTTTTTCCTGGGCATCGAATGGAAGCAGATAATCAGAATGATACGGATTCTGAAGGTTGGGAGGAACGTGAGGCATCTCGCACGCATTCCGTGAAATTCTCCGAAGACTCTGTCACGGATAAGGAGGTATGTGGATGACATTCGAGGAGCTTCCGCTCACCACATGTGGGCTTTTCATGTGACTTAATGGGCTCTTGGGGTTTTTTTTCTCTTTTCTCTCTTGCATTGCAGCAGACGCCGTTTGTGCGACAGAATACGCCACATCCCAAGGAGTTGAAGATGAAGGCGCACAAGTTGTTTGCCAAGGAGAAGAGCAAAACCGATGACACAATCGGTTTGGATACGCTGTCTGAGGAGTCGTCATCCAAACCGTCATCGGTGAAAACGGTAATTGAGTCAGCGACGATGGATAATATATCGGAGACGCAAACAGATGTGGTCCCAGTGGCGCCATCTGGTGTGGTGGTGGCGGGCAAGAGTGTGAGTCAGGAGCCAATTGGTGTGCCACTGCTGCCCAATATTGAGGAAGTCCCTCAGGCGATGCCCATGGGCGACAGCAATGTCGTGGGATTGCCGAATCCGCCGCCGACTGAGGCTGAGCATGAGGATGATATGGAGGACAGAAGAGTGGGATTCACACTGAATCAGGAGAGTGAGGATGATGGTCAGTTTCCCGATCCGGATGATCTGATCAAGAGACCACTGAGACTCCATCGACGCGATACGCCGCATCACTTGAAGAACAAGCGTGTTCAGCATGGACTCAATGATAAAGCCGCCAATCTCATCATTGCAAATGCGATGAAGATGAAGGATCATCCGCACCAGGAGCCAGTGATGCAGCAGCACAGAATTGATAATGTTGTGCATGAGGAGGAGTTGGATGACAGCAAAGCGGAAGATGGTGAGTTTGTTTATTGATTTGATATGTTGAAATTTATTATGCTGAGACACTTGAGAAAGAGAAGAGCTTTTGAAGAGCCTTGAAGAAAGCTCACTGCCAACCAATACAATCCGGATTATTTTTTATCGACTTTGTGTGTGTGTTTGCAATAAATATCAAAAGTCGCGGGCGATGCGGTGAGATCATTGGCAGATTTTTTTTGGCCACTAACGGGGTTTTATGATGGTCAGTAAATTTATTAAAGCTTTCACAGCGATTTGTTCAGTGTTTCTCTGTGTGGTTTTCGTGTGATCAATGGGGGAAGTGTGAGGCTGAAATAATGTGTGATCCCGTTAAAATATATCACACAAAAGCCACATTATTGCTCATCGTAATGTTTTTATTATTACTATTTTCTGCTAAAAATCATTGGCAGCAAAAACCTTTTGCTCAATTGTCGAAGAAGATGTCCAATGTCATATTTTGCAAACAAATGTACAAGTTAAATGGTCACTTAACGCCTCAATCAATGCTGAGTGTGGACAAAATTATGTATTTTTGAACACTCACTAAAGGGTTGAGTACACTCAATCATAAATTTGGCATTGTTTTGGAAATTATATTCAATATTCCATTTGTGTTTTTCTCACACTCAACAATCTCTGCGCTTTTCTATCTTGACAATTAATCAGCCAGAATATATTAAATAGGCGTTAAAGTGCTCAATGAGAGCAATCGGCCAATGCACATTTGGAGAATTGTATAAATACAATTACAGCAATAGTGTTGATTGGGAAGGGGGAAAGGAAGGTCATTTGTGCAATTTTTGCTTTCTTCGGTGTTTCTCACTGTGAAGTTCGAGGTGGAGGTTCACGCGGAGGGGAAAAAGTGTGAGAAAAATGAGGTCAAATGTGACGCTATTTTGAAATCATCAAATAGAGAATAACAATATGAGAGAATTCCAAATGCTTTATTACACACATAAGAAAGAGAAAAATGTGTGATTCTTTTGGGATGGAAAAGTCTATGAAGCGTCACGTGATAATTAAATTAAAGGCAAAAGAGGCTTTTCGTGTGTATCTGCACGGTTGATGCTTTCGAATTTTGTCCAGCGATACCTGGACGAATAAGTTTGTGCGTGTGTGTTTCATCTAAATAAATCTCAGATCGCAATTGACCTCTGGAATATATTGGGCGGTTGGTGGAAATGTTGAATTTGTTACTTAGTGAGGTCATGAGTCAATACAAGAGGCAATTTGGAGATGTTGAGAGTGAGAGAGAGAGAATTAATTCACACATAATAATACGATCTTCTCAGCTGTGGATAGAAATCATTCCAGTCGGTGACTTGAAGTCAGGAATATCGCGTAGTAAAACTATTTGTTTTTGTGCGGAGTCTTTCTGTGTTTTTTTTATTTTGCTGTTGCCAAAATGACACCATTGTCTAATTCAAAATTCATAAACTATTACGTCATGGGTGGTTGTGGCTGTAAAAGGCAGTTTGGAGCATAAATAAAAAACTGGACAAAATGTGTAGAGACAGAGAAGCACACACAACATGAGAATTGTAGACATAAAATATAATATTGGAAGATGTGTGTTGACCGTCGTTGAGGTGCTTCTGAAATGAGCAGCTTTTTATTTGTTGTGAAGCATTCAAGCAGTTCGGATGGCAGATAGTAAATCTCTTTGCTGCTGCTTTACAAGGCGTCTCTCTCACTTGCAAATATTCTGGTTTATTGTGTGACAAGAGTTTAATTTTGGCATTTTGTCAGTGTTGTCTGTCTCTCGACTCGAAGAGACAGAAAAGTCAGTATTGATGTGAAATTTTCAAGTTGGAAATTGAATTTTTGGAAAAACACTTATTATTTCTCTCTGAGACAGTGTTGATTGTGAAAGAAAGTGAAAAGAGATATATATATATAAGGCGATTTAGAGTCAAGTTGCGAAGAAGAGATGAGCAAAACGGTGACAATGAGTGACAAAAGTACGATGGATTTATTAAATTTCCGTTCACATTCACATCATTGCCATTCCTTCCACTTCTTTTTTTCAATGGATTTACGAAAGCTTCACTATCAGAGGCAACCTTTCTCACTGAATTCACGAGTGATAGAGTGTATCGAAAGCAAAGGGGAGGGAGAATGTTGGAAGTGACCGTGATAAGGGAGAAACATGGAATATGTGTGTAAATTTAATATGATTTCCTATCTTGTTGTGTGTTATTTGGGGAACAAGAGGAAGCCAATTGAATGGATGTGTGGGAATTTTTTTTTTCTTTATACTATTGAGGACGAAAATATATTTTTATGCATATCCAATAAGTGTGTGACATTTTGAAGGAGGAAAATTTGTTAGACACGATTTTATGTGGGGGAAAATCAATTCTCACAGAAATGCCTGTGATGGAGAGAGAGAGATTACAGTGGTGGAAAGAATATTAGATGCGATGAAGAATTTGCGGTGTATAGAAAATTGGGTGTGTCTATAATGCTTCCATTCACTGCATTATAGTTGGAGGAGGTAATAAATAAATAATCTCTTCTACCTGATTTGCTCGAGACAAATTTATGATTTCCTTCTTCAATTTATAAGCCATTAATATTTATAGAGGAGAAAAGTAAACTAACAATTTACTATAATTGGTGGCAGTTTTTTTGTTTTGCATCTTCAGCAAAAATAATATGATGAATAATATAAGTTGGAAGATTAAGCTCTGAGATGTCTAGATGAGAGAAAATGAATAAAATATGGGATTAGATATGGGATAGTGGAAAAAAGCGATGATCGAGGAAGAACAAAACTCTCAGTGTTTGAACTGAATTGAGCCACTTTGTCTCAAAAAAACACACACCGTCCGAATTTCTCTGTTCACGTTTCAATGCTCGAATTACTCATATATTTAATAAATATATTTTTTCCACTCTTCTCGCCCAACACGATATTGTGAAGGTGTATTTATATTACATTCATGGCGAAGAGAGAGAAGAATATGACGAAAGGTGTGTGTTAGAAGATAAAATTCACAAGTGTGTGTTGTTTAATATGTGTCGCGCACACTGAAATGCCTGCGCGAAGTTTTATCGCAATTCAACTGTATCAGTCACAACTTGCACTTCAGTTGAAATTCTCCCTTTGGCTGATAAACATTTATTATAAATCTAAAGCTACTATTTAACGTCTCACGGAGGGGATTTTCATCACTTGGGCGACGGAGGACGTTAAACTCACTGGGGAAAAGCGAGATAAATTCTATTTGTGGATTTTGCAATTGGGAAACTTCTCAGTGAACTGGAAGAAGTTTTTGACAGTGGAGAGAATCACACACTTTAGTCTATCTTTGGCATTGATAATAGAGCACTGCGTAATTTCACGAGCGCCGCTGTGTGAGGAATAATAAGAAAAATCCCGATATATGAAGTTGGGAAAAACGCCGCCAATTTGCTAATTGACGTATTTTTTCTCCTTCACAATTTTTATTATGACGAACCTGACACGTTGAAGTTAATTGAGTGGATTTCAGTCGATAGTGCCTCAATTTCTGTTGCTCGCAAAGTCTAAGCGTGAATGAATTTCAAGTTGAGTGTTTCTCAAGAGTGTGGTTTTATCGCGCGGTGTTTGGATAAATAATAGAAGAATGACACAGTGAACTGATAAAATAAGAAGGGACGAAGGTTTTTCTTTCTATCATTTTGGGTGGAAAAATTTATTCCAACACTTAATAAAATACCTGTTCGACGATCTGGTGTAAAAATTCGAGAGAGAATTCGCTTATCTTATCAATTGGAATACCTTATCGGCGACGTAATGTGCTGATAAGGCAATTAAACGCGCGCGCGAGAGTTGGGAAAGAAGGGCACCCCGTGAATGTTGTGACTTGGGCGTTGCTTGGTGAGGAGGAATCATCATCATTGCCGACAACAAAGGGCCCTCGATGAGAGATAGATTTGGGTTTGTGTGGAAAAGTGGGCCACTCGTGAGCGATGTTTAGTGTGAAGTTGAAGGTGAAGGAGGGCAGAAATTCCTTGCCGCGATCGGCGGGAAAGAATAGGATCAGGAGGAATTCTCAGGGCAGCACAAGTGGCAGGAGTTCAATTCTGTCAAACAGAAGTAATGGCGAGAAGAAGGAGAAGAGAGTCAGAATAATAACACATCGTGAGAAAGATCGAGATTATAATGATTTTGGTAAATTTGGCGGGATTATCGAGGGGTCAATAGCTTTGGGATTTCACTCACTCTTTCTCTCTTCTGTTTACCTTGGAAAATTAGCATTTTGCAAGTGGAGAAAATGCGGGAATTGTGCCAAGTTTGGATAAATTGATCAATATCAGTGGCAAAAATTGATGGAATGAATATTCCTGCAGCTATTGTCCCCTCAATTATCCCTGTAAATCCACGCACATTCTTAAGCCTTCTCACAACTCTTATAGCTTCATCTAGTCTATCATATAATGTAATGAGATCATGAAGGTTACAAACAGTGCCACATTTTCATGACACCGATATTTGATCTACACTGTTACACCCACTCAATTGAGCTGTAACGCTTCGACATAACAGAAGGAGATAGAAAAAGAACTGAATGTTGTTTGAAGCAAGAAAAAAATGTGGAAGAAAAACAAGAAAATATTCCAATGTTTTCCATTTTTATCCGAAAAAAAAGTGTCTCTCTTAATTGAGTGTCTTTTTAGGCACATAAAGTGAAGACATGTTAATTGAGATGGAAATTGACTGAGGAGTTCTTTTTGATGTTTCTGTTTGCAGATGCCGCAGATGGAATCACGGAATTGCGTGAGGAGCGCTATGAGATCCACATTGAGCGCACATCGGCGGGATTGGGCTTGAGCATAGCCGGTGGCAAGGGTTCTACACCCTTCAAGGGTGACGATGAGGGTATTTTCATATCACGCGTGACTGAAGCTGGACCAGCGGATCTTGCGGGTCTTCGTGTTGGTGACAAAGTGCTGAAAGTCAATGGGATTTCAGTGGAATTGGCCGATCACTATGAAGCGGTGGAGATTCTGAAGGCGTGCGGATCGGTTTTGGTGTTGCTTGTGACAAGAGAAGTGACTAGACTTGTTGGTCATCCGGTCTTCAGTGAGGATGGCTCAGTGTCACAGATTTCCATTGATAATCGCACACTGGAACAGCAGCAACAGGTGGATCTGCAGCAACCGCAGAAGTACATTCCGCCACCGATTCAGATCAATCCGCAGCAGCAGAATCCTGGCATTACATCGCCATCCCTGCTGACGGCAAATGGTGTGGTGGAGAATGGTGGCAGGGATGTTGTGCACAAGATCACACTCCACACGACCTTCATCAGGGATCAGATTGGTCAGGGATTGGGATTCAGTATTGCCGGTGGCAGAGGATCACCGCCGTATAAGGATGGTTCTGATGGGATTTACATATCGAGAATCACTGAGGGTGGATTAGCGCACAAGGATGGGAAGATTATGATTGGCGATCGAGTATTAGCGGTGAGTTTCACTGCGATATTCTAAAGGATGTTTGAGCAACTTTGCTGTGTTTGTAGATTAATGGCGTGGATATGACTACGGCTCATCACGATTATGCTGTTCAACTGTTGACGGACACACAGAGATTCGTTCGACTGGTGATTCAGCGTGAAGTCAAGGGTCCTCTGGAGCCACCACAGAGTCCCAGAAGTCCGTCAGTGCTCAAGGGATTGAGTCCAACAGGATATATGGCAAATCGACCAAGTAAAGATGAAGGGATGATGTGAAGGCTTATTTAACAGTATTTCACCTATCGTCTTTTTCTCTTTCACAGCCTATTCCGGCTACAGGCGATCCATTGATGGATCTGAGAACGTGAAGACGGCCGCTCAGACACACACAGTGCCACCCACGGCTCAGGCGGCGACAACTGTGCCGCCCAAGACGAATGGCATTGATACAGTTCCAGCGCCTCAGCCGGCGCCACGTCGTCTTGGCTCACAGAGTGTGCCGAATGGGGCGCAGAATGGTCCCCAATCGGGTGACGAAGAACCACAGGTAAGTGTCTTGTGCTGTGTTTTCTATTTCTCTGTTGTATCACACTTGTAGAAATTCTCCCTGACACTCTTTGAGGGGGTTGCGGTGTTTTTTTTTGGGACTTCTGTGGGGCAGATTTAGACAAATGTTCTGATTGTGAATTTCTCTGCGTGGTCTGAAATTGGAGATTTGCTCTTGGCACACAAACAGCGGAGGAGGAGTTTTCAATCGCGCAACAAAAGGTAGGTTTTGCTGCGGGGGTGAAATCAACAATTTCAGACTGTGTGTGTGAAATCACGATGATGGGGAAATTTTGTGGGGGAAAATTCACGGCAAAAAAAACCAATAAAAAAAAATGAAGTCTAACAATTGAGCTAAAAATTAATTTGTCTAACACACATTTTAGTAATTTGCATGCCATAATAATATAAGATTTTGTGAGAGCGATATTAGAGATTAATTGTATTGATCTTTCCCACTAACAAAAACTCCTTCCTTCTTGCGATTTGACAAATTGTTTTCCGCATTTTTTTTTTATATTTGAATTTACATGTTGTGTTTATTTTATATCGATTGGAATGTGAATTTGTTTGTTTTTGCGCTGTTGAAATCGCAATCTTGAATTGGCTGCACGAGAAATGTTTTTGATATTATTATTTTTTACATATTTGTCGTGCGTCTCTTGCGAAGTAGTTTAAATTATCCTTTTTTTTCTTTGTGATAAAAGAAAGTATATAATGACTGTGTAAAAGGATGAAGAGAAAATGGATAAAGAGGAGAAAGAGAGAGAGTTGTAAAAGACACAAAAGATGCAGAATCGCGGCTAAATCAGCGCACAAAAATGATCACAAGAGGAAGAAGAAAGAGGAGATAAAGAGAAAGAGAGACCAAGAGAGAATCCTTTTCCCGTAGAGTTCATCAATCACATTGTTTTACTTATGTTCGCTATCCCCTCCTTCATTTTCGCCCGTCTAGGTGCCACACACGCCTCGTCCACTGACCAGTGATGATTTTCAAGCCATGATCCCGGCCCACTTTATCAGTGGCGGTGTGCAGCCCCATGTTGATGTGCGGGAGAGTGAACATGGGCCAACGGTGACGGTGACGGTGAACAAGGGCATTCCAGATATGCCGATGCTTCCGCCGGCACCCACAGAGTTGGGCAAAGTCACTGAAACCATTACAAAGTCAACATTCACGGAGACTGTCATGACTCGTGTCACTGACAATCGTTTAGCCGAGCCACTCATCAGTGAGGTGATTATTTGATGACGTACAGCAAATCACTAAGTACTTTTGTGTTTCAGAGGAGAGAGAAAGAGACAGAGTGAAAGAGAGAGAGAGAGAGAGAGAGAGTTTTGTTTGCGCTTTGCCAGAGGCAAGAGGATGGGATGACGAGATGAGCAAGAGTTGTTCAAGATGAAGCCTGATTTGAGACAGGCAAAAAGCCATTCTTCAGTGTTGAAAACTTTACTCTGTTTTACTCAAGTGACGTTTGGGTTGATGAGACGACAAACTGATGTGATGGAATCCGAAAATGATGTGAAAGCGCTCATGAACACACACAAGAGCAGAAGGAATAACATGTCCTTCATGGACCGCAGCATAAGGAACAAGGAGCTGGTGACACTTGAGTCATTCCACATATTTATGACAAAATATAGAAACGTCAACAAAAGACAAGACTCTATATTAGTTGATTATTTGATAGGCGCTTGTTGAAGAAGAAATTCATTTCTGTAACGTCGCTTGAGTGAAACAGAGTTAAAGTTTCCGTTTCTCACATAAAAATAGCAAATTTCCAATCTTCTCAACTGTCAAACATCATCTTGAACATCTCAAAGACCAAAAAGAATTTTCTAACCGAAGAAAAAACATGTAAAAAGCAATTCAAATCATCAAAGAGAATCTGGATCATCGTCTTATTTCTTTGCTGTTCTAATTGGAAAACGCATTGGAGAATGAAAAAATTATCCTTCTATCGCATCCTGAGAAGAAAAAAAGACAGAAGAGACTCTGTTTGTTTGTGTGAAGCACAAATTTTGCATTGTGTTATTTATCAGTAAATTTTCATTATCACTGCATTATTACTTCCCACATCACCTTCACACATTCATCTTTTTGTGACACACATTTTCACGGAGAAGTCACTCACGATAGCGAGATTACACAATGACACAAAATGTCTGTAGTGTTTCCTTTAGCAATGTTTCTGTTCAATAGAACTCTTAGTGTTAGTCATTGTTGAGAGACATTCTTGCCGTGAGACTGAGAGACAAGCATGATTTTTCTTAGATGATTTTTTGTGTAATTCTTGTTATTTTTTTACTTGAACTGTAGAGAATGTAGAAGTTGTTTTGGAAGAGTTTTTTCTCGTTTACTTGTTTGTCGTTTTATTTGCTAGTCATGGGCAAAGTTTAATATTTTATTAATTTGTGCATTGTTCCACTAAAATGTTGGCATTTAATTATATATTCTGGCTACCTATAGAGAGAATCAGACAAAAGGCGGGAGAGAGAGGCTTAAAGTTGATAAAACATGATGTCATATTTGAGTAAATGTGGTGGGAATTTCTTTGGGAGTTAAAGCGCCTCATTGATATTTCATTTGGGTTCGGTGACAATTGAATCACACACACACACACAACACATAGTAAATTTCACTGAATTAATTTTGCTGCCAATAAAGGATGTTCTTTCTTTTGTGTGGTCATCCTGAAAGTGGGTGTAAATCAGACCCTTTTCTCCAGGCCGTCAAATTCTGGCTCAAAATGGAGTTGCAGCTGAATAATTCATGACAAATGGCACACTTATCAGTTACCAGTCATCAAACCTACAAATCTTATCATCATCACAAAATTATTTTCTCATCCACTCAAATGTGTGTGGTTTTTTTTTCATTTGGGGTTTTGATTGAGCAAATTGTGATTAATGTTATCATGTGAAATTCATGGATTTGTTATGCTCCTAATGACATTATATTTTTATTTTTGTACTCATGGGAGGACTTTTTTCACTGCAAAATTTACCTATGATTTATTTTCAGCTTTCTGCTCTGTTTTTTTTTTTTGGTTTATTCATCACTTTGGATTGAAAAAGAACAAAATTGTTGTGTAATTAATCTTTCACTTTCAGATTTTTTCTCTTCTTTTGACACGTGTTTTTATCTCTCCCTTCTCTTTATCCTTTTGTCACATCCTTTTCCATACTTTCATCACGCATCATTCTTAGACAATTGAATAAACAAATAGTAGTTATTTAAGTACATGATGGATTAACTTAGCGAGAAATGCATTGCATTGGAATTGAGGTGGAAAACACATTAATTAACTGGTGAAGAAGATAACTATCGGTTTATGGCATGCGGATTACTAAAATGTATTTAGTTACTTTACTAATTAACAGGGTGTCGTGGAAGGGTTTTTTTCTGCGCGGGTGTTTATTAGATGGGAAAAGAGTTACGATGGGATTTTTTGTATATTTGATATTGGATTTTTTTTTTCAGATTTGTACATTTTATAATGTTTTGCAATTTTATCCTTGACAATTTTTGCAAAACTGACCCAAAAAGACCCACAATTATGATTTATTTCTGCAATATTTTGTGCTTTTTGTGTGTGAAAATTCAACTGTAAAATTACTTTGTAATTTGATTGAAAAATCTCTCTCTTCGCCTTTTTTAGGATGTGAAGCTGCCCAAGAATCAGGGCTCTCTTGGCTTCAGCATTATCGGTGGTACAGATCATTCTTGTGTTCCATTTGGAGCTCATGAACCTGGAATATTTATCTCACATGTAAGGAAAAATCTCTTCCGTTTGATTCTTCTGTGGATTTCACTGAAAAATCTCCTGGATTTCAGGTTGTTCCTGGCGGCATTGCCTCCCAATCTGGCAAGATCCGAATGGGTGATCGAATATTGAAGGTAAATGGAACGGATGTGACACAGGCGACGCATCAGGAGGCAGTGATGGAACTCCTTCGTCCTGGTGATGATATCACTCTCACAATTCAACATGATCCACTTCCAATTGGCTTCCAGGTGAGCATTAATGAGAGTTTTATTTTTCGTTGAGTGTTATTTGGTTTTTGCTTTGTTGTTTAAACAATCAAAGTGTTTTTTTTTTCTTTAAAAAAAAGCTGAAAAAATGGCTTTTAGAGAAGAAATTTTTATCTGTTATTTTGTCAAAGAGGAGCTTTTTCATCGAATCCATTTTGCAAATGCTTTTTATATCACAAATTTTTCGTTCTTTTTTTATCACAAATGCAAGCAATGCGAAATAGAAATATTAAAAGATGAGGTATGTAGCTGTCTGGCAAGCATTTTTCCATGGGAATTTTATCATTGAATTCATCGATAGATGTTGCTGAAGTAGTTAAGATTGTTTGGTGGAATTCATTGATTGACTGGTTTCTCGTGATTTCTTTCTCTCCTCTGCAGCAAGTTGTGCTGGTGAAGGCCGAAGGTGAACGCCTGGGAATGCACATCAAGGGTGGATTGAATGGTCAGAAGGGTAATCCGTTGGATGCAACTGATGAGGGTGTTTTCGTGTCTAAGATCAATTCCAGTGGTGCTGCAAGACGAGATGGTCGACTGAAGGTGAAAATTCTATTATGATAATTCCTTCCAAGACTTCTTCTCAATCTTTCTTCCTTGTTTTTTAGGTTGGAATGAGAATTCTGGAGGTCAATGGAATGTCTTTGCTGGGAGCTTCCCATCAAGAGGCCGTCGATTCACTGAGATCGGCCGGCAATGAACTCTACTTAATTGTCTGCAAGGGTTATGATAAGTCTGCGCTGATTCACGGCGCTGGAATGAACACGGGAAGACGTCTGGGCTCGAGGGCGTCAGAGACGGGATCGGAATTGAGTCAGAGTATCTCAAGTTTAGATCGTGAGGATGATGATTTGACATCACAACAGCAGAATCTTGTGGTGAGTTGAACAGAAGATTGAAATGTAATTGAATTTGTCATTGTGTTGTATTTTTTTCAAAAGGATTCTGAAGTGTTCACCGATACGATTGAGAAGATAAAGTCACTGCAAGTGGATGAGGTGGAGGAGAAGTCTCAACCACCCAATGAATTGGCTTTGGTGAATTCAACGCCGTCAGATTTGGTTCTTATGAAGGAGAAGAGCACACCTGAAAAGGTAAGAGTTTCATCTATTGAAGGAGATGTTGTTATTGATGTTTGTTGTGTGCTTTGGCAGGTGCTGGATATTGTAAGGGCTGCCGAGTCTCTGGCTCTTGGTGGGAATGCCGAGGTGCCGCCTGAAGTGCAAGTTGAGGCGCATCATGATGACAAGAAGCAGAAGACCACAACAATTGTCATGTCCAAGCATACACTTGATACACAACCACAGGTATGTTGATTTCTCTCCACTTCCTCAAGCTCTATTTTTGGCCATTCTGTGTGTCTCTCATTGCATCTCTTCTTTCCTACTCTGTCAACCACCCACTCTGTCTAAAATATCCCCCAAAAGGACAGGAAGAGTGCATGTGGTGATAAAAGACTCTCATGAGAGGAGTTCAAAGCCAAAAAAAAACACTCCATTCTGTGTTCCTAATTTCTGTGTTTATTTACTGTGAATAATTGCAATTCCTCCTCATCCTTTTGCACTTCCTTGTCTATCCCAAATTGTGTCTTATAACTTACTTAGTCACCCTGAGACTTCTTGCCAAATTTATGCATCACAAACCATTAAAAGAGAAAAAGCAGTGCAGTGTGTTTTATCTCTTGTTTCGTTTCTCTTAAATTGTGCATATATAGAAGCTTATATATACAATAAATGTGAGCTTCTCTACTTTCTATGATGAAATAATGCCGAAAATGTGCCTCTAAATTTTCTATATCTACATATTTTTTATGTTGGTTATTGTTTGCAGAAGAGGAAAGAGAAAAAAAAGAATTGTTTGCTGATTTTCTGTTTATTTTTAATGCCTTTTGTGCATTTCCATATTAATTACTTTTAAGTGTCTTTAATCTCTTATTTGAGTGTTTATCTTTTTCTTATGTACATTTATGTGTGTGTGTGTGTCTTTCTGTGAGTGTTGTGCTCTCTCTGGAGGTTTGTTAATCCATCTGTAATGCCATGTGAGAAGGAGATTAATTGAGTATTGTTGTACTTGTTGACTTTTTGTAGCGAAATCGTTGCCGTTTATCAACAACTTTTAGAGTTTAAGCTAATTTCAATGGTTATAATTAATTGAGAGATAGTGTTTTAGGCATAAAATGTCCAAATGAATAGTTATATAAATTATCGGATATATATATTTCTTTTTTTATTTAGGCAATTCTTTTTGCTAGGCTATTAGATTGATGAATTGGTAAAAGAAAAAAAAGTTGTAAGCATGTGATTTTATTTGTTAAACAACTCCTGAAATGTGAAATCTTGCCGCATGCGACGTTTCTTCTTGAACCTTTTTGATAGTGTCTTTGCGAAAAGAGAATTGTTATATAGTTCTGCAGTGAATCGATGTAGTGAATATTAATTAAAATATATTTGTCGTGCTCGCCTATTCCTGATAATAATAATAATAATAATGATGCATTTGAAAGGAAACTGATGTGTTTGGTCAAGAATTTTGTAATGAATCTTGGTATATTTAGTAAAAGAGAGAGAAATAGAAAATTGTCCGTAATTATTAGTGATGATGATGATGAAAAAAACTAAAATTGCAAATATTTTTCTATTCTGCCGTTCCAGACATCGGCCAAAAATCGTCCCTAACTAATGGTAACAGTTTACAAGACTGAACTAATTAATTTATTTGTAGTGAAAGGTGGAAAAATTTACTTTAGTCAATATAATCTTTTAGTTTAAGAGATGAAAATTTTGAAAGAGTTATTTTTTCCCTTTACTATCTCACTCACTCTTCCTTTTTACTAACTAATTCGTAATACTCAAATTTTGTAGGTAGATTTAATTACAAACCATCTTTCTGTTAAGTCCAAACATTGAATTTTATCATCCCTTTGATTGAGTTTCTCCAAATCGTATGAATAACTGCCATTTTTTGTGTGCATCAAACGTACAAGTTTTACAACAAAAAGAAGAAAAAAAGAACAGAGAAAAAAAATGATACAAAAATACACATTTCAATCAATCAATGGAAATAATAATAACTGAAGAAACAATCTCTTATCAATCTCTATCCCGCCCTTGAAATGATAATAAGAAAAATAGAAGAAGAAAAAGAAAAAAAATAATAGTGACAGAGAGAAAATTGATTATTTTGAGAATTTAAGAGAAAAAAAGAACTTTGTGTAAGATGTAAAATGTAGATTCTTTTTGTTCCCTCTCTAATGACTGTATTAAATGTGTAAAAAACTACATGAAAAAAAAACCAATTCCTTGGACCAAAAAATAAATGTGTAAGAAATTGAGAGGATTTAACTGAGAAACAGTCACAAGAAACAAAGAAGTGCGTAGAAGAAGTGTTATATTTTTCTCATATATTGATGTCTCAAATCCCCAAAAAAAAGAAAAAAATACTGTCCCAATGTTTCTCCTTTTCTCTGTGAAATGTATTGAACAAAATGATAAAGAAATCAATTTTAACATAAGATGTTAACCAAAAACCAGCACAAAATGAAAATGATAAATCACACACTGGTCCATATTTTATCGGAAAAAGAGTATCTCTGTTGTACAAACTTCTCTGAAGTGTTTAGTGTTGAGTGTTGTAACATTCTTAAGAGTGGACAATTGACGGTGAAGAGTGTTAAAAAGAAAAAAAAAGAGAAAATTCAATCAGTTTTCTTTTCTATCTTGTGTTTCTTCCTTCATAAACGAACAAGATTTTCGGATTTTTATTTGGAGTTTATTTTTTTTTGGAATGGACTAGAAATTAGTCTTTCTGAAAGGGTTTTGAGAGGAATTTCATTTGTCGAAAAGTAGATAAAAACTGGTAACAGGATATGAAATGAACAGAAATTGGAAAAATTGATGTTTCCTAACATTGTGTATAATTGTAATGTAATTGTTAAACACTGAAAGAGAGGAAGAGGAAGGAAAGTTTGTGGAGAGTAATTTAAGGATTAAAAATTGAGAGAGAGAGAGGAATTCCAATGGTTTCCCCGAGAGAACAAATAATAATTGAAATTAGTTATTCTATTGTTATCATTCTCCGTGAACAAAAGAAGCAGAAAAAAAGGATCAGAAGATTTGAGAGGTGTATATAGTTTTTAAAGCAATTCGTTGTCCTTTAGTGAGGTTTTTAATAGAAGTGACAGAAAAAGAGAAAGGAAAGAACATCTTTGAGATTACTTTATTGAACAGTTAACTTGTAATTTTTGCAAGAAAGGCAAAAAGAGAAAAAATAATTTTTGTCTGAGTTTTAGTGGATTTTTTAGCTAGTCCTGTGGCGGAAGAGGATTTTATTATCTCCCATTTCATTTATGGAGGAATAACATGACGAGATCGTGAAATATATTTATAAAAGAAAAAATATTTTTAAAGAATTACCAAAAAAAAAGGCAATTTTATTTATCTTAATTTCCAATTTGTTATGATTTTTCTGTTAAGAGAGCGAGAGAGAGAGAAGTTTTAGATCGCTTAAATGTTTTCTGTGAAAAGATTTAGAAGAGAGTCAGAAAACGAAAATTATTTGTGAGTATAAAAATATCAGAAAATGATGCTTTTGTTGAAGGAATTCTGTTGAAAGTTGTTAATTTTCTTGCTTCGTCTGTTTTTTTTTTATTTCAATGTTTAAGTTTTATATAATGAAGACTATTTTTGTGTGTCCTTTATAATTTTCTGCTAATGCTTCTTTCATCCTCATTAGATATATATTTTTTTGTCTCAATTGGCCCATCATCAATCTCATCCCAAAAGTGTTTCATGAATAATAAGCAGTCAAAAAAAAATGTGCTGAAAAGTTGGTGGCAAAAAAATTGGATCTGGGATCATCTGTGTGTTAATTTCATCATGTTTGTAGAGACTGACTGAAGTGTGAGTGCGTTTGGGGGTGAATTAATGCCATGATCTTTTTCTCTTCCGATTCTCTCTGCGCGTGGCGAGCAGATCGAGGGACAGAGAGGCGGTCAGCAGAGGCAATTGGCCAAGGGTGAGGGTTCAGGAAGGCCCAGAACACCTTCTGTTTCAGATGCCAGCGAAGCGGGAAGTCTGCCCAGAGCGAAGCGGGTGGAGAAGACGCCTCCGGTGCCTGTGAGGAGGAGGGAATCCGTGGAGGCGACACTCGATGATGTGTCAGATGAGAGTGAGGAGGAGAACAGGATGTATGAGAAGCCCCTGCCGGCGGAGCCAAAGAGGCAATTCAGGCCGACAGTTGTGGAGGTGAAAACTGAAGTGCCGCCCACGAAGAAGCCAGAGAAGAGTGAGAAAGCAGTGCATCGAGGTGAATCGGATCGCAGCTCTGTGAGTTCCTACAAGAGTGACAATCACAGGAAGTCCGTGAGTTTCGATTTGAGTGAGAATAGCAGCGAAGAAGCCCCAGAAACGCCGGTACTTCATCGTCCGTACACACCCAAACCGGATCCCAGCAAATATGTGGAATCAGATGAGAATATCTTCAGCTATGAGAGCGATGAAGTGGCCAGAGTGGAGGAGAGATACGCTGATAAGCCTAAGAGAAGAGGCATTCTTCGGTCACCGAGTCCGCGAGTTGAATCGCCAAGAGCGACACTCAGGCGGGAACCCATTCCGGACACTGTGGAAGAGCCAGCTGAGGAGGAGCTCGAGAGGGAGAATCCCTTCCGGAAGGAGGCTCTGTCGGCTCAGCGGTATTCAGACAAGTACAAGGAGTATTCCAAGATCCCGCGAGGCGGTGAATCTGGATCGGATAGCGAAGAGGGACGAAAGAATCGCCCAATTTCCGCTTACGGTTATGATCACGACTATGCCTGGACGTTCAGGCACATCCACAAGGGCTTTGAGGAGATCTCCCAGTCGAATGAGAACCTCAGTCAGCCGTCAATGATTCCCATCAAGAAGCCAATTCTGTACAAGTCAACTTCCACTCTGCCCGATCGTCCGCGTGGAAAGCCTCCGGTGCCGCCGAAGCCGCCGGTGAATGTGAAGCAAGCGGATCTGGTGCAGAATGACGCTCTGAATCGGATATCGATGGAACAGGGTGACTTTGTGGAGTTCCAGCACGATGCCGCGACGAATGCCATCAGAGAGATTCCGCGACCATTCAGTCCGGACTATTCGCCGCTGCCGCCAGTGCCGGAGGCGAAGAAAGTGCCGTACAACAGAGTGAGGAGCGTGGAGAGACCAACTGTGCGTCCTCCGCCGCCACCAGTCAAGTCACCTCTTCAGTACGAAGTCATTCCGGCGAAGTATGACGTTCTGCCGTCACCCAAGACGCCCGAACTCGTGCATGAGAACTGCAAGGACAACATCCTGGTGACGGAGGAGGTGCACAGGAGCATTCTGCTGGGGGAGAATGAGGTGCGCAAGGCGCTGCAAGAGGAGGTGGATGATGCCAACAACAATCGATCGCTGCCAAATCCCTTCCTCAGCGACTCAGATTCCGACATCACGGCCATTTCGGCGGCGGACGCTCTGCCGCCCAGCATCTTTCCGCCACCTCAGATTCTGCCGGTGCACTATTCCCACCTGCCGATGCCCCAGCAGCCGGGCTACTACGTGCCCTATCCGCCGCCGGGCGGGCAGTTCCTGGTGAGTGGCGCCAATCAGCCGTATCAGGCGGGATTCGGTGGTGGTTACAGCTACCCGTCGGCCCAGGCGGTGTTCGGGATGCCGCAGTGGGCACCGCAGCCTTACCAGCAATTCCCCGGACAGGGCAACCTCACCCCCTTGCGTGTCACCTCACCGCCACCTAACAATTTCACCCCATCTCAGAACAGTCCCAATCAGAGCGTCGGCAAGCAGACACAAGTCTAGCTTTCTTTCAGTGTTCCCGGGCACATTCCGCTCTGTCCATTGCGCACGAGTGGAAAAGCCTGCCCGCAAAATCGAGAGTATTCTTAGTCACTTAGTGTTTTTTAGAGAACTTAAGCCAGATTTATTCATCCAGCAAACAATTTTTAGCCATAGTATTTTTTCTACGCAAACATCATCTCTCAGTTTTATTACTATTTTTCCTATAAATCAAATTTAATATATATATTTTAACGCACGGCACATTTTTCGTTTTGCAACTTACAAAATTTAAAATATATTAAGTTACTATAATTCAATGTCTTCTGGACACTTTTTAATGCACATTTGATTTCTCGTCTTTGTCCCCCTTTTATTTACTAATATTTACTTTTCCTTTATTTTTTTCTCTTTAACAATGAAAAAATATTTGTGAGAAATAAACGAAAATATTTATAAGACACCAGAAAATGCAGTGAATTTATTTTGTGGCGTCCTATAAATGTTTTTTTCACTTCTTTTCAGTTCATTTTCATTTTCTTTCTATTTCTTTTCCGTCAAATATTTGTTGCACTGTTTTTGTTGAATTCATGCATTTTCCGTAGTCACCACCGGCATCGGCAAAGACACCCAAAACCGTGTCCGACAAGAAGAGATTCTTTGAGAATGCCATGGAAGATCAGCACAAGACTGCGTCCAAGACAGGTACGATTTTGGCGTCTCTTAAGCTAAGAGAAAAGGGGAAGATGGCATGGCTAAAATGTGTAAGACATTTTTAAGAGACTTCTCATGCGTTTTAAGAGAATCTTGTAGGAATCTTCTAAGAAATTGTCGTATTGGAATTGACAAATTAAAGCTAAAAACAGCTTTTGAAGTGAAAAAACTGGAGAAATAAGTGATATTTTGTCAAATATTGCTTTTTTCTTGATTTTCTCACCCTTTTTAATAATTTTTAGCCACAAAATCTCCCCCAAATTGATTAAGAGATGATTATTCAACTGCTATTTCACTCCCTGCAGACAAAGTCTTCTCGTTCTTGTCCAAAGACGAAGTGGAGAAGCTGAAGCAGGAGGAGGAGCGGAAAATCGCCACGATGGGTCATGAGAAGCCCAAATTGAGTGAATCCGACGATTTAGACGATAATTTCGACGACGATGAGGACGCCTACAATTCCAGGTGTAGCAGGTAAACTAAGCTAAATCGCCTTTTCTCTCCCTTTCAGCAATATTTTTATGAGTGAAATCCACATTTTTTATGGAACTTTACGAAAGCTTCATTTGCAACATTCCTCTAACAAAAAGACACTTTTTAACAATGTTTTTCGCTGAGCTTTCATCTCTCTCTCTTTACAAATTCAGATAAAGTCCAGTCCAAGGCAGAATTGAACGTCTTTAGCCACATTGTCGCCCTTCTGGGTGTGAATTGGTCGTGTGAAATTGAGCTCGATTCTCGCAAATTGGGCGAGAGCCACAGCCAAACCAATTCCAGCAGCACTTCTCATTGTGTCTGCAAAGGCAAAAAGAGCGAGAATAGATCAGAATTTTCTCAATTTAGTGATGAAACTAAGAAGTTACCTAAATTAGAGTCCACATTGCCACAGTTGAAGAATAAATGCGTCCTAAAGAAGCGGGCAAACTTGTAAAAGTAGCTACTGTAAGGCAATGGAGCCCAGATATGAAGTCCAGTTGCCCAAAACATCTGAAAAGATCAATTTCTCATACAGTTTCTGTCCTTGAAAGACTTTTTGAGTGCTTCTTACGTGTGTTCCTGGAGAGTGTCCCTCAATTTGTGGCCCCACGCCGCCAAATTCAAAGCCTCTCAGTGAATATGGGCCACCCATGGTGAAGAGACTGTTGATTGGGATGGGCTTTTCGGGGCTGAGCTCTCTCAGGAATCCACCGCGGGCTGTCATTTGCAGTGACATGTTCCAGAAGAGAGGCAAATTCCGCTCCAAGTGTGACGTTATCGACATGTAGTGGATATCGCCGACTTTTCCTGCAATCGATAGCAAATTAATTGCACTCGTTGAGCTGTGTCATTAGTTATTTAGCACGTTGACTTCGAAAGTCACTCTTCCATGGCAAATTGTTGTTCTAATTGTGTTAAAAACTCACGGAAGACGCTGCTCTCCAGTGTTGTCCACAACATTGTTCCGCTGCGGGGAAAGATTCGATCCTGGCGATCGTCGTACTTCATGATGTAGCGCACAATTGATGCCAGGCGTGGTCCGAAGTGTTGCCGGACGAAGAGAGGCACTTGGCGATTGATGCCCGCGAGTTCGCGGAAGGAGAGCTCATACTGCAGTGTGTGCTGAAGGTGGTTTGACGTGTTAAATACTAGATTCAGAGTGCCGCCAGCTTGATGATTTGTGTAGGAGTTGTTGTGGTTCTTCGAGGTGTTGTCGAATAAATGCAAAAATGTCCTGTAAAGAATCGAAGAGATCTTCAAATGTGAAGACAAGACTTTCCGAGAGACACAACAACTCACTGTGGTCGATACTTTCCGATGAGCTTGCGGTGGAGAAAAGGTTTGGTCAGCTTCACATTGAAGCCCAAATTGCGACGACTCTGATCGCTGTTGCTGTACGCATACTCGAAGCTCAGACTCTCGCCTCTTCCGGCAAGATTGGGCAGGAGAATCTCTGCCTTGGACACCATTTCGTACTGATTCATCTCCGTGGACACATTTCCCTTTATCCGGCGACTCTCCACGCCATAGAAGTCCACCACGTAGCCGTACTTTGTGCCCGGCGTTACGTCAATCTTCGCCCTGATCTCCCGGAAGGCCCCCATTGAGAGCAGAAGCTCTCTCACTTCTCTCACCTTCTCCACCAAGTCCCGGACGTTTGTGATGTCATAGCACTCCTTCAGGGTGTTGTGCACATAGTCATCCTTCGTCCTCTCCAAGCCATTTATCGTGACTTTCGAGACGTAAGCCTGAAAGTGGGGCAAATTCTCAATAAATGGCTGTGAAACTCCCGGAATGAGGTTATGTTGACAGATACTCACTTTGTAACTTCCCAATCTCTCGCGCAATCCCTCGCCTCTCTGTCAGAGGAAAGAAAAATCACACGAAGAGCCATTAATTAGCATAAAGTACTCCATTAGAGTGCAGAGGCACGAGAAACAAATAAAAGAAGGTGAAGAAAGGTAGCACCCAAAGTTACGCAACTTACAGAAGTCATTTCAACTGGTAATCTCCACTAAAATGCGATGTTTTCGATAAAATTTAACAATACTTTACAATAGGTATTATTTACAAGTGTGATAAAGCTGCTTTCTCATGTACTATTTCGTGAATTTCACCGGAAAATCACACTAAAACACCCATTTTCACCCTAGCAAAATGCTAAACACTCACCATGACTTCACTCACTGGCATGCACGTGACCTTGCAGGCGTGCCAGTGTGACTGACAAGCGAAGCTTTCGTGAAAGTTTTTTGTGTGGATTTTTGAATGTGTGAAAGTTCGTTACAAGAGTGCTTCTCAAACATTTCCATCCTTATTAATTCTTATGCAGGAATCCTCTTGCTGAAATTGATGCAGTATTTAGGAAATAGTATTGCTGACTTCTAAGATATTTACAGAGCTTATTTTTTCTGCTTTTTTTGTGAATATATTTCAATTAATAAGGAAATATTTTTTCGCTGCTGTGTAAAAATTGAGAGTTTTAATGCAAATTAAAAGAGTTTGGTAGGATTTGCTACTGTTTTCTTGTGTTTTTCTTTTTGCTATCTGGTCTTCCTTCACTGCATAATTCCTCTTCATTTTACATTTAACCACTTTGTCATGCTTGGTTGAGGGTTTCTTAAAAATAAGCACACGACTTCGACGTGAGCTGAGAACTGGAGAAATGGTCATCTAGACTCTTTCCAACTCAGCTCCGGAGAGTTGGAGTGTACCTTGGAGAACATTCTTCAAACAAGAGCACGAAAACCTCCTGTATTCCCATCTCTTTATTCATGCAATTATCTTTTAACTGCTATTTGTGTTGGCTTTCCAACTGGTTGTGTGAACGAACGGGCTTTTTTTTCCCCACCCTCGTCTTTCGATGGTGAAAATTTTGCAATATTATTAAATAATATTCCACCCCTGACCAAAAACCCGCCTGTTTAATTAACTGTGTGTGTGTGAGTGTCCGAGAAGGGGTTGAAATAATTTATGAGGCGAAACATGAACAATTTATGCACTCAATCATGTTTATTGCCATTTTGCCGCTGGGCTCTTCTTGCCTGGGATTGCACGCAGAAACAATAATAAAATGGGGGGAATTAAAATCCCAACCAAAATTTATTATTGTTCACTCGGTAAATTATCCAAATGCAGCTTCTCGCGCGCGTCCAAAATGTGGGACAAACTATTTTGCACGCTGTTGTGACAAATGGAGTGAAGTTGAAGTTTTCCCAGAGAGTGACTTTTTTAACAGTTTATTTTTATAATTATAATTGGAATTTGTGCACAATTCATGAGGTGTGGATTCATTTGGGGAAATGCACGATAAATGAATTCATTCAAATATATATAGACAGAGGTAAAATGAGGGTGTTTTGGACTTATAATCTTATCGTTTTAGGAATTAATGTGTGAATGCGATATTTTTCCGAATTCCCGTGAATCTGTTTTGTTGTCTGATTGCTAAATATCTGTCTCTGTATGTCGTGTGGCTCATCCAGTTCACCATCGCAACCATCATCCCTCACATTTGTCGCCACCGCATCCTCACCGTCCCCCGAAGCACCCAAGACGCCCCAGAGTCGCATCCCCGTGCGCACGGCCAACGCGGAGAAGCGGACGCGCGACGCTGGCCAGCCGGCCAGTCAGCGGCCAATTGACGAAGCCCAACTGAGCCCGGCGGAATTAAAAGCTCTGAGGTAAGGCCAACACGTCTTTTGCCCCCCATTTTTTCATTCGGGGCGCCACGAGGCGAAGGGGGAAATTGATTTTCCGCCAAATCCCCCTCAAACATCTCCACGGAGACCACAAAGAGTGGCAGATCTTCCGGAGGGGAGGATGGATGGATTAGGTGAGGTTTCGGGGGGATTAAGTTGTCGGTATGAGGAGATATTATCCCAACGATGCTGAGGAAATCTTGAGCGGGGAAAAAAATGACCATTTCTAATCACGTTAATTAATGCAGATGAATGATTAAAGTAATTAAGACGGACTTTGCTTGTACAAAATTATCAAAAGCATGTCAAAGTATCGCTTTAATGACATAAAAATTGCGTTTCACAGTTGTGGTTTTTTTTTCAACACCAAATAATTTGGATTGAAGAAAAATACTGAATAGTCTTCTTGTGATAAAATTGGAGGAAATTGAATCAATTGAATTTCAAATCTCTGAATATTTGCTTCGCCAGGATAAAGGAAGATCGATTTAACGGAGTGAAAGAGCTTTCAGTATTACAGCCATGACGCTCATAAATACGAAGAGAAGTGTGTTTATTTTCAAAACTATCTGGAAAATGCTGTTTATTTTCATGAAGCATCATGATGAAGTGCATGTGAACTCTCCTTTTGTATCCCGTTGAATGTTTACAGCGAAGCAAACAATGCAGTAGTGGCCACTGAAGCTTTATGTTTGTTTGCCTACTCCGCGAAATTAGCCCGTGTTTTGGCATCCCGAATGAATTCTCCGGGATATTTCACGCGTGCAAATTCCCAAGGGTTAAATTTTGTTGGTGCGAAGGGCAAATCTGTAATTGAAATCACTGTTCTTATACTGGAATTGCTGAGCTTGCGTGGAACAGAAGTGTCCTAATTGCTCCTTAAGGGCGCGCTTGGACAGTGAAATTGGTTGGGATTAATGTGATTTTCAGCTGTGGTGGTGAAGATTATATGCAAAAGAATGTTTTCTGTATTTTCTCTGCTGTGTGGCAAAATGCAGGGCGGAGAGGAAGCGCGAGTGGCGCCAGGCGAGACTGAAATCCCTGGAGCAGAGTGCAGAGCAGATTCAGAGCATAATTCAAGCTCAAAATGCTGTGAATGAATCAAATTTGCAGCAGCGTCAGGACAGAGGCGGTAAAAATGAGGTAAGTGGGAATTTTTTGGCCTTGCCACACAGTGCAAATTAATTTATTTGCCCTAGCAAAAATAATTCCCATGAGAAACTCAGTATTAACTCAGAATAATCTCCAATTAATTTGTCGCTTGATTTAATTCTATTTTATACCATTTAATCATGACATGAGAGGTGATTTTTTCTCGGGGTATTTTTTTTTCTTCCTAAACTAATCGCATTTTTAATGTTGGGGTGAATCAATATATTGTGATGAATATAAATATATATTTGTTGTCTTGTCTCTGTACTTTATTTTATTACTGTAATTGTGTCTGTATGTGGATTTTTCAGCTGGGGGAATATTTTGGAGATAAAGCGACGCATTGTGTGATGAATAAATTTGTAATTGGATCATTTATATATTTTTTGGGGGAGATTTTCTGGGAGAAGGTTGAACAAATTAATATACATTATTTGCTATGTCGTCTAATAATTGTGCATAGAGAGATACTGAAGAAATATCATTGATTTCCTATAATCAGCCATTGAGGACGTTTTAATTGGACACTTATCAGCATTTTAATTCAAACGAGAAGTCACAAAATTATATCCAATTAAAGCATTCTCTCACAAACTGACTGAAATTCATCTGTCTCTATTATTTAACTCCTATATTTTATTGATCATTCCTTCTGATATTTTTCTTCTCTTTATTTCTTTTTTTTTCTCTTCCCAATAACCAAAACATAAAACCTGAAAAAAACACACTGAATTGACAAACCAAACCAAAAAAAAAATGTTCAAAATTGCGCCAAATTCTCTGTCGACAGTCTTTAGTATTTCCTCGTATTGCTGTCAAGTCGCGTCCTGGTGCTTTGGTCGTCCGCGAAAAGGAAAAAGTTCTCGATGAGAAGATAACACGGCGTACAGAAGAAGTTGCTTGTCCAATTACTGGGGAACCACAAATCAGAACTATTGAATATATTGAGAAGCTCATCGAAACTGAGGTTAGAAACACATTGAAGCTTCCTTTTTTTTATTATCTCTTGTTACTGTTTTCTTTATTACTTTTAGAAGTGAGAAAACTTTTAAATTTGCTCCTCTTCTCTGATAAACTCTCTCTTTGTGTGTTTTTTTTGCCAATACTTTTTGTACAGAAGTTTCTCTCTGAAAGAGAGAAGAAAAAAAAAGATTCACAGAGGAAAATTACCTTCTTGAGCAGTTAAGGTTTTCTTTTTCATTCTACCTTTAGCGAAAAGCTAAGAGTTTGGTTAAAGACTTTTTTTTGTGTGTAATTATTTGGAAGAAATGGTTTTTTTCCACCTGAAAATCACTGCTCTTGATCGTGATTTTCTCTCTGCAAATGTGTGTGATTCTTTCGGAAAGTGAGAAGGAGATGAAAGTTTTGTGAGAAAATTGGGAAACTCATGTGATGCACAAATGACAAAGTGAGAAAATGCAATTTGACTTAATAGAATTTGAGTTTGGAGAGACAGAAAATTTTATCCTTCCTCCAGAGAGAATGTCTGTCAGTTGTGCAAAAGGTCTTAATTTTCTGCACAAAGTTTTCCTCTCTTTCTGGCACAATCACAAGTGTCTGGTTCTCTTGCAAAGTTCACACACAACAATTTCTATTGCTGTAAATAGCAAAAATGATTTAGTACATACAATAATAAACATGCTGTGCATCCAAAATGCTCCTGCTTTTGTGTGTTATTTTGCGCAAAAGAAGGGTTGGAATGGAAGAAGAGCAAAACTATATATATAGAAAACGATGAAGAGAGAGTTATTCCACTCAATAAAACTCTTAGAGAATCTTCGATAGAGTCAAATTTAGCTGCATTTCTTTTTATGTCAATAAAAATAGAGAGGAATAAAAGAGAGAGAAAATTCTTCAGAGATTTTAACCTAAAATTTATATACACAGAATGAAGAAAAAATTGTAAAGGAGAGGAGAAAAAAAAACTTCTCCAATATTGTATAGTTGGTGAACGAAGAAGAAGAAGAAAATACAATTGCGATAACGTGCACAAAATGGAGAAATGCAATTTAGTACAAAAGCGCACGATAGAAAATTTTTTTGCCCTCTTATCTTGTAGAATATTTTTCACTCTTCACGACTTCTTGTTTTTTTTTTCTTTCCTCCACACGCTAAACTATATATGTACATATATACATATGGAAAATTGCTGTACATTGAAAATTCCTCAAGTTTCTCAACTTCTTTCTCTCACTTTTTCCCCATGTGTGCAACTTCTTGTTATGGGTTGGAAATTCAATGGATGGAATGTGACTATTGTGCAAATGGTTCTTTCAGTTATATTTGGTGAATTGGCTTTTAATACTCTTCTATATATTCTTTCTCTCTCTTTCTGTGTATTATTTAGTGAGGCAGAAATGTTTGAGGGGCGATCAAGTGAGCAAATTGAAGATTTTGATCAAGTTGAAAGGCATTCAATTTCACTCACTTTATCGCCCTTTGCATGATAAATCACACTTTAGTCATCGCACATCGTTTTGTGCATGCATCAGAATGTGTTTGTTGTGACCATTGGCAGAAACGGTTGGCTTTTCATAGGCATGGACAATGTTGTAGATCTGGCTGTGGAAGCGCACTAGAGGGCAGAGTAAAGTGAATGTTGTGCCACACAACTGTCTGGTGTGGAGAATCCACTGACTTTCTCTGACCAATTCGTAGGTGGAAACGTGTCAGGAGAAGATAATCTCGATAGAACTGCAGGATCCGTCGCGCACGCCGGCTGCGACGCCGTCAGATGAGGAGAATCCCTCCATTGTCACCGTCCAGTGTCGGTCTGAGGGCGCCACGGGGCCGCTGGAGTTCATTGTGCGGCCAGGGGTGGACGCCACAGATGCCAGAATGCAGTATGCGCCCATGCAGACGATTGTGGAGGTGGTGAATCCGATCCTTGGCGGTGGCGGAGCGGCAAACACCATCACGGTGGGCAGATCGAGTGATGATTACTATCCGTCCTTGGACGAGGAGACGGCGGAGTTCGAGGCGAACGAGCGATATGAGCTCAGTCTCAATGATAAGATGAAGAATGTTCTGCAGGAGTTGCTGGAGAATGAGAAGGTGAAGCTCAATCGATCCAGGAGCATGACTGAGAGTGACAATGAGGACCAGGATGAGGATGATGATGACGATGAGTCCGAGGGTGCTGAGTATGATTGCGTCTTCAGTGATCATCAGGGCAATTCACACTTTGGCAATGGCTTTCCCGCCACTCTGCACGAGGAGGACGAGGAGAATGCCAATGATGAGATTGAGGAGTGTCAGGTGATCAGCAATCCCAACGCCCAAGACGACGAGGAAGCCACGCAGGAAGCGCGCCAGGAGACAGCCGATGAGGAGCTGAAGGAGCGTCTGATGTCGCAGCTCAATGTGGACAATGCTGTTGCCGAGGAGGCGATGGTGGAGGAGGACGAGATTGTGGCGAATGTCCAGGACACGGGCCTTCCAGCAGCGGTAAATTCAAGTACAAATTCCAGCAAGAGCCGCAAGAAGCGGAAAAACAAGAACAAGAAGAAATAGAGAGCTTCTCTAATCCCATCATATAACCAACCTCAGCGAGGTTTTCGGTGCGTTTCTTCGTTCGACTAATGAGATAATAAAATAATTAGTGTAACAAAAATAAATCCATAATCATGCAGCTAATTGAGGAAAGTGGATGGAAAAATCATGCAAATGACCCACTAATGAGCACAATTAAGTGATCATTTGCCTAAAGAGACATGATGACATGTGCAAGAATGCGCGGTAGATGGAATAATAATGAAATAGATTTACACACTTAATGCTAGAAATCATGCAATTTCTCACTAATTTATAAGTTTGTCTCCTTTATTAGTGAGATTCAAGATACAGAGATATTTTATTTTAGTAGATTTTTAAGCTCATCGTCTCTTTTTTTCTCTTCTCTTTTTCTTTGTCTCTTCCAGCGTGTAGTTTTCACATCACGAGTGGGTTCAATGATTCCGATAGCCAAAAGAAAGGTCTAATTTAAGATAATAGCGCCTAAAATGGACCACTTTTTCCAACACACCAATTCTGGACGAAATCATGCGGAAAAGTAAGACAATTTCACCCTCAAGTCCACTAATCCTCAACTCGATTTTATCCCTTCCATTGCTCTCCAATTAAATTAATAATGGTCAGAGAGGGGGATGAGCGCAAAGCAGGAGAAGAAAGCATTTCGGTGCTTTTGGGTAAAAATTGTGTGTATTGCGCGCATTAAGACTCTCTCTCTCCTCAGTTCATCCCTCTGGACTCCCGTCCTGTTTTTTTTTTCTTTCCCTCACATCCTAATGGCAATTTAATTCTCCGCAATAGGAATTAATTTAATTAATTTTCCATCTATACTCTCTTTTTATTTGTAACACCGTGAGATAGAATTTACGAGGATAATACCTTGCATAGGACTAAAAAAAAAAGAAGTGCAGAGATAACTGAGTATATAAGAAAATTAAATGGTAATTCGTAGAAATTGTATTAAGATTTAGTGTACTGACGTGAATTACGTGGTAGATATACAAGAAAGAAGAAATAGGAGAAAATATAATGTATTAACTATTAGTATTCCATATCAAAATGGTGTCTTTTTCCACTCTCAACGCGAGTGACGATCAAATTCAGCACAAAATTGGCGACAAAGCGCTCTCACAATGCTGGGCAAAATGCATGGAATTCCTGGAGAGCAGCGGATGGTGCAATGGACGATTTATGGTGTTGGTTTTCGCTGTAATTAAACCCGCTCAACTCAATATTGTGTACACTCTTGGGCGTGCAATGGTGCTCAATGTAATCGATTGCATAGCATCGCGGCCCCCAATGATGAAGTGCCGCCTTTTGCCCCTCCAGCAACGCTTGCGACACTATATATGCAGTTTAATTAACAAACACTATTTCTTTGCACTCTCATTTCGTCCTCCAAGACATCTTCATTCGCCGAGAGCGATGTAATTAAAAAGTTTATTTCCTCTGTCACACACACACTTGCCAGATTACACGGATTTTTTTCCTCCACAATCTCCGTCAATTTGGCGAACGTGGGAAAGAAGCTGTGCGCTGACAAAGAGCAGGAAGACAATTGGCTCTTTATACCGAGGAAGATTTCAGTGTCATTATATCTAGTTAGGGTTTTATCGTGTAAGAAGAGGAATTAATGCATCTTCCTTATGTGAGTCCTTTTACAAATTTAATCAAAATTGCACTTCTGAAACACTTAAAATGTCTTCCTCAATTATTTACACTCAAATCATGTGTGTTTTCCCACTTTGAATCGATATGGAAACATTTTCAATTTGAAGTTATGCAACAACAGCTTTGAAAGTTTTCCCAACGGTATGCGCACTTCATTGGAACTTTGTGTGCGCTGAGCTTTTAATTAAGCTCTTCCTCTCTTTGTAATGACTTTTCACTTTGTCGCTGCTGTGTCGAAATAAAATATTTCCCACCCCTCAGTTTCGGGGTGGATTTTATGACTTGTTCAGCACTTGTTGATTGGCACTGTGAACACGAGCTTTCAGGGACATCCTGTATATTTGGGGGAGTGTGAAGTGTGGATTCTTAAGAGATTTCGGAAGGAGAAGAACAGGAGGTAAATTATAATGAAGCCAGTTGCGGAAGGTCAAGGGAAATTAGGGTGGAAATGAACATATTTTTTCTGCACGTTGATTTTTCCAATGGACACTATCTAAGGTGTTCAACATCTACAAAAAGAAGGAAAACGTCTGGAATTCAAGTGGTTGAGCATTGAATTTCTCTCTCTGTGACACACTTCTTCCATTGCTACACTTAAACCACGAGAAAGGGTGTCTTTTCAACCCTCTGCATTATCAGATTGTGAAAGCACTATTGAATGTCAGGAATCCATTCGGAAGGACAAAGTTGCCTTGAAGTTCTTCACAGGACTTTCCGTTCGACTTGTGGTGTTACGTTCTTTCACACAGTGAATTATTTAAACCCCTTTTTCGACTGGTCAATCGACCAATTGCGAGTCTCCGGCGGAGTGAAATTGAAGGAGTGGTGAAAAAGTGCGACTTTCATCTTATGACGTGAACTGATGAAAATGAATAAATCAGGGAAAACTTAAGTGGAACGCCAGCGAGAGAGAGAAAGAGGAAGTAAAGTGAATTATGCTCAAGACAAGTCGCACAAGTAATTTGCATTTGTAATGAGCATAATGTGGAAGGGAGGGAAAGTTGGGGTATGTACACATCTTAATTTTAATCTCTGGGTCACTCACTTGTTACACGCAACGTCTTGGAGGGCATCTCGGTCTGGCCCTTTCTCCCATCCACCCTCCCCTGAACTTCCTACCCCGCCTCGTCGTCAACTGGAGGAGATTTCTTGAATTGCAAATGGTAATGAATTTAGGGCGGATGACAGGGCAAATTACGAGAACGACATTTTTCACTCAGAAGTCAGCCTGAGCATTGAGTGGAATATACTCTGTAATAATTCTATTTTGGGGCCAATCTCTGTCAATCCGCCTTGCTGGGCTTTTGATTGCAGACAGCGCACAATTGTCTTATGGTGGATGAGATGAATGAGATTCTCTAGGCTGATCTCTTCAATTTTATGTTCCTTATCAGACGGATTACACGGAATTTCTTCCTGGGAAATCAATAAAATCCCACAGGAGAATCGCCCCGGAAAGAGGATTGAAATATCTCTATATGAAAGCTTAAAAGCTCTCCATGTACTTTATTTCTTCCTCCTTTTTCTGCTTTTATCGCCTTTAATTAACTTTTTTTGCCGTGACGAATATGAGAACAAGTGAAAATTTCACATCTTAATAAACGCTATAAACTCCCAATGATGTCAGAAGCAGAGCGTGTGAATTTTTAATCAAGAGCTTTTTTTGCAACTGTAATTTACTATTTAGCAGAAGAGAAGAAATGAAGTCTATCACATGGACAAAAAAGCGCTAATTAACGCGCTTTCTTCAAACATTTCTTCTTTCTGCAGTTGAAGTTTTACAGAGTTTCCATTGCAGTGTGAAGAAAGAAACGAATTCAGCATTTTAATTGATATTTAGCAAACTTTCTGCATTTTCACAGGAAAGTTCGCCTTCTTTTTTGTATGTTTTTCGTTTTTTTTTCTATGCAACAATTAGAAAGGCAATAGTTAGCAGAAGAATCCAATTGTTGTGGAGTGAAAGTAGAAAAGCTCTTTGTCAATCATTTGCATTTCACCATCCGGCGCCTCCATTGCAATTGTTGTACTTTAGTGTTGATTTATTTTCCCTTCTCTTTCAGTCTTTTATTCGGTATTTTTTCTCTGCCACTAAATTGCATTCACTCTCGACAGAGAGAATAGACAAGGAGGAAAAACTCTCGCTTCAGCAATTGTAAAATGAAATAAACGGCAAAACTGTATTTAAAAATCCTTCAAAATGTGAAAAAAAATACCAGAAATTGCACTAAAGAGAAACCAAAAAGTAGGGAAAAAGTGAATTTTTAATGCTTTTTCACTGGTCATTCCCGACTTTGAAACGAATAGAAACTGTAACGAGTGCTTTTTTCTTGTATAAATTGAAAAGTTCACCCACATTTCAATGCTTAAAGATATGCAAAAATGCCCTTGTTCATCCTGCAGAGGTGGCAACAGAGCAGATGAAGCTTCAAAGTGCCTGGTAAGCTTTATGAAATGATTATTCAATAAAAACATGTTGGAGCTCCGAAGGTTTTGTGTTGGCGTTGACATTTTCCAGTGTATTTTGCATTCAGAAAAGCTCTTTGAAGTCGCTGCTGACGCTGTTGAGTTTTGGGAAATTTTAATATCATATAATTTAACATATAATAAATTTGCTAAAGGCTTTTAGAAACTTTTTAATAATATTGAATACATGAAAGTTCTTTGATATGCATTTTCGTTAAATGTATATATTAAGTCAACTATGCGAAATTAATATGTTTTATAGAACTTTTTGATATTTCCATCAATAGAATTGTTGAGAAAACAATTGTTGCGAAATATTATTGTTAATTAGAATTTAATTCTATACAGAATTTATAAAATTAAGCTCTTCGCGTTGCATTACATTGAACATATGAAGAGTAATGCAACAAACAGTAAAAACTGCTTCTCGCAGAGCTTTTCCCAAAATAAATACATTCCAAATAAATTCCATCCTCATTATGGGGATGTTTTTTCCACTGAAAATCACAGCACACAATTCATATGAAAATAAAATAATGACAAGGGAGGTTTTCCGGCTGAAACTAATGAATCCACATGTTCCAGGCAAAGAAGCAACAAAAGCCCGTGGAGGAAAAAAAGAACACATCCCGAAGTTCACATCATAAATAAAATGTGTATCCATGGGGCGGCGCGGGGTTGGAAATAGTGGTGGAGTGATTGCTTGGAGCTGCACATGAAAATGCAAATGAAATCACGCAATGGCGTATCGATCTCTTTTGGGAGGCCTTTTCTGCCTCCGCCAGCACTCGTCTTAGTCGCACTCGAACGTGCCTGTGGTGTGAAAGCACTTGGAACTTTCACACCAATTCACGCTGAAATTTCACCCCTTTCTCCCTTTTACCAGCAAAACACCATCAGAAGGTGTGCGGAATTGGTGTGGGGATGTCAATTTGGAATGTTGTATTAGGGATTCAATAACAAATTTTTGAATTACAATTCACCCGATCGACGCGTGAGAATGAACAACGCGTGAAAGTTCCAGTGCTGGAAGCACACATTGAGCCCTGAAAGAAACTCCCATTCGTGACAGGATCACATAATGCCATTCTTCCGATGTCTCTCTCTCTCTCTCTCACTCTCTCTTGACTTCCTCTCCAATGCCAAATGAGATTTGTACACAAAAGCCGCACCGACAAGAGACTTTTGCCTCTCTCTTGCAGAGAAAATAAAAATAACAACAATGCGAAGAGCTTTTTCGCCAAACCCACCGGAAGCGTGTAAGTTTATTTACTCTTTGGCTTTTCTCTGGCCAACGGCGGTGAAAAAAAGAGGGACACGCATGAGATGTGAATGAAAATTCATACAAATTTCATCTCAGCGCGGTCAGTGCTGAAGAGTGAGTTTTCGCAATAACTCCGGCAAATACAATTAATTATGTTTCGAAACTATATTGTCTGTGAATTAATTGGTGGGGTGAACTCTCAACTATATCGCAAATGAGGATTTTCCACCCATCGACGACACAACTTTTAATGGATGTCGTAAAAAAAAGAGCGGATTTTCCATGACCAACAGTCGTGTGAGAGTGACTTTAATTCCCAGGAAATGTTATTGGGTGGAAGTTAAGCTCTTCACGTGGCGGAGGAAACTCAAATTGAAAGGATTTAATGTGATTCTCAGTTCCCGATAGCAAGAACAATAATATACAGTATAATTTAAATGGGAAAACTCTGTCAAATTAATGAACTTGTTTCACTGTGTATTGTTGAGAGAAGAAAAAAAGTTATCT